CCTATAAAGCATGGATCTAAGGAATCAAGATAGGTGTGGTTAAAATATTTACAGCATTTATGAATATAGTGAACGCAATGTGTGGATGTGCAAGTTTAGTGCTAAAGAAAGGTCCCACCTTGACAGTTTGTGTGAATTCCTCTGTCCACAGATCAGATATGGTAGAGGCAGCGAAATTCTCTCTCAACGTTAGTGAACCATAAACTAGAAGAAGGATGGGAGTTGATTCTCCCATCACACTTTAGCATCTCTGCTAAGATTGTCAGCAAGGGTGACAATTCGTGCCAAATGTGTTTTGTTATATGTGGACTTTAATCTACTAGAACTTGCACTGAGAATCACCAATTTCACAGGCTAGAAAGGTGCCATATGGTAATAACTTACTTCTGACGTTTATGTAGTAGCATTAACTTATTTTACACTATTTCAGAGGAATTCAGAAGCGTCTCTATTTTTTCTTCCTGAGTTGTTCCTGGTTATAGCTTTTCCAATGGTTCCAAGGAACTTGCGAAATTAATAAAGATTTGGGTAACACTTTAAAAGATATATAGACCAAAAAGCAATGGAGCGAGAAATGCCACACATAATAAAACACATGGCAACAGAATGGTATTTAATCACAGCCTAAGGTGACTTCAATTAATATTACATGTTAGTGTGCATTTAACAATGTTGTCTGCTTGAATACAGGTGGCTCAACACTATCTGCCTGTTGTTCTGCGTGACATTTTACTTTGGCATCTGTCTATGAACCTCTACAGATGCTTTGTTTCTAGGCATACCAGCTCTCAAATTGCTTAACTAACATTTTGAATCCATTCATATAATTTATCTCGTTTTTAGTAGCGGTGAATTTGAACCAAACCATCAGACCCATACACCCTCCAAAATACAGAGAAATGTGCATGCAGACTTTTGCTTTAGGTCCCTATAATGGGCCAAACCAAATCCAGATCTGAACACCACCAAACTGGAAAAATTCGGAACAGTGTTGCCAACTCTTGTGATTCTTTATCACAAGTCTTGTGGTATTTGATGTTTTCTTGCAGCTCCAGCTCCTGAAGGCATGTGATTTGGAGAGAAGCTCAACGTTCATTGTTTTTTAAAAGTAAGTTTCTAGGCCTCATGGTTGTAGAGAAAAGCTTGAAAGTGTGAATTGAGTGAGACCTAAAGGCTCAAACACCAAAAGGTAACTGAAAAAAGCCTACTTTAAAAAAAAATCTCATGATTTTTAAGCTAATCTCACATTTTGAGGGAATTTAACTCATGATAGTTTAACAGTTGGGGTTGGCAGTACTAGAATCTGAACTCTGTGGTGTGGGCTACACTTCCACTAATTCTGGATGCTTCTGTTTTTAGGTGCTCAACTTGACACACACATGCCTGATTTTTCAGAAGTGTTAAGCACCTGCAGCTCTTATTGAGGTCAGTCAGAAATTCGAATCATGATCAAGCCAGGCACCCAAAATTGGTTGACACACTAAAAAAAAGTTAGACCTAATTGATTACACCTGTCACGCCAGAGGCAGATACACATCTAAACAACGTGTGCAGCCAGACAAACTGGCTGCCAAAATCAAAGAGCTCCCCAGCATGAAATGTACTCTACGAATGTGGACAACCACAAAGTTTATCATTAGCTACATGCTATTATCTCTGCTGAACCACACACACATAATACATTGGCAAACAGCAAAAGATGGACATTTTTGGCTAAAAGTCTAGATTTTAATATCCCCCTTCTATGGAAAGTGCCCATGTGCCTTCAATGCTCATGTAGAGCACCTAGGAGCTAGATATTTCAGCCCTGGAGCACCCACAGAAAAAAAACTAGTGGGTGTTTAGTACCTACCATCAGCCAGCTCCCCTCCTCCCGCCTACCAGCGGCCCCACTGGTCAACTCCTCCCTCTCCCTCCCAGTGCCTCCCACCCACCACGATCAGCTGTTCCGCAGCCTGCAGGAGGCGCTGGGGAGAGGGGGAGGAGTGGGAATAGGGCATGCTTTGGGGAGGAGGCAGAAGTGGGCGGGAAGAGGCAGGGTGGGGTATGGCCTTGGGGAAAGTGGTGGAGTGGGGGCGGGGCCTAGGGCTGAGCGGGGTTGAGCACCCCTGGGGAAAGGAGGAAGCCGGCATCTGTGATGCATCATGAGGGCCTTGAAAGTGAAGAAAAGTAGCCTATGTTTGATATGTTAGAGCTATGGGAGCCGGATATCTTAAGAGACATTATGCAGAAAGAATCTGTAAGACTTAGACAGTGAAGGAAGTGAGGACCTAGAGAGAGGTCTGAGTCAAAGATGACACCAAAGTTATGGGCCTGAGTCACAGGCAGGATGGGGGTGTTGTCCACAGTGATCGAAAAGAGGTGTGTTGGGAGGGGATTAAGAGCTCTTAGCCATGTTGAACTTGAGCTGATGGCTAGACATCCAGGAGGAGATGTCAGAGAGACAGGCTGAGATTTTAGTTTGCACAGAAGGAGACAGGTCTGGAGTAGAGATGTAGATCCATGAGTCATCAGCATACAGATGGTAGCTGATAGTGGATAGTACAATGCCTTGATCTAAAATTTCACCCTAGATCTGCCTCTGTACACCATATCTGCATGCCAGCTGTATTTGGGCAGAGGCAGAAATTGCTTCTTAAATGAAATCCTGGCCCCACTGAAGTCCATGGATGTTTTGCCATTAACTTAAATGGGGCCAGAATGTCACCCCTTGCATGATCCATGGAATCTAGGATGCGTTGACACAAAACAGCTATGCCATGACAGACCTAACATCCATACTCCACGTATTAAAGATTTCCCCAACTATGGCTTCAATTCAGCCAGGTTCTTAAGCACATGCCTAACGTTAACCACATGAGTAAATCCATTGATGAAGATTAGTCAGGTGTCAATGGGACTACTGCTTAAGTACCTTGCTGAATTAAGGACCCTGCAAAAGGACTCAAAATAGATTGTAACAACTCCTTATTGTTTTCTGGGTAACAGTGCTTCCACCAGGCAATTGCCAGAGTGCAGGATGGTTTCTCTCAATACAGCAGGGAATGGGAAGAGTTATATGTAAGAATGATCTCCCAGTACATGCCACTGGACTACCTGTAGGTTAGTGAAGGATCACAGCATCTTGCTTGCTTGTTTCTGTATGTAGTGTGCGTGTGAGACACAGAAATGTTTCAGTAAGGCCTCCGGGAAAAGATGGGTTTATTGTGTGCTGCTTCTGTGACAAGCAAGGTGTGGTCAAATTGTCTGAGCACATGACCAGGTGTCAAGAACAACTGAGTTCCAATCCAAGGTCTACATGACTGTCTCACTGACTGAGCAAACAACATAGCCTTTCTTCCCATAACACTCAGTGTTCATGGGCAGCCATGCTCTAAGACACCAAAGTGGACAGCTCAGAATTCACGAGCAGCCTATAATAACAAATTGCCATGTCGTTTAATGCTACCCTACAATAAACAAAGCATTGTGCAGTGGAGGAGCTGGAATTTTGGTAAAGAAGCATATGCCAGTTAAAAGCTTCCCAGGGTTTATTATAAAAAAAATTAATTAAACTATTTTTAATTAAGAAAATTCCCTTAAATCTGTTCTTTCAACTCTTTCTAATTTGTTTTTTTTTAGTTAACATGGTTGTTTCAGTGAGACTTCTACAGTCATGAGTGTCAAATCTGGTGACTTGATTCTGTAGCAAAGCAAAGCCGCACCGGCACAGCGCCTCCTGCTGGTCATCTTGGAATTAGCTCTTTCCAGCCTCAGAGCACCTCCTTCTGGCCAGTGTCTCACCTGCCTCAGGCCCCATGTCCCTCCTGGATCCCAGTACCCTTTTCCCTTGACGTTCTGCCCAGCAGTATCCCCACACTCTGGGTCTTCCCTCCCCAGGGAACCACCAACCCTCTATACCTACCTTGCCTCAGTAGCTACTGCCAGTCATCATCTAGCCCCTTTCTCAAGGGGCAGACTGCAGTCTGTAATGGCCACTCATCACTGGCAAAGGAGGTAGGACCAGCTGCTGCTGCCTATCCCCAGGCTGCCTCTGTAGCCCCAGTACCTCCTCAGGCCTTTAACAAGGCCTCAGCCTGGGGAGTTACCAGCCTAGAGCTCCCGAGCTCCTCTTGCTCTTGCCCTTGCCCTTCCCCAGCACTGCTCTGCTTCAGGTACCCTGTGCTCCCAGGCAGCTAGGCCCTTCTCCCTCCACAACTGGAGAAAGACTGACTCAGCTCCTTTTATAGGGCCAGCTGTGGCCTGATTGGGCGTGGCCCCAGCTGTGGCTGCTTCCCCAATCATTCTAGAGTTTTTCCACCGGAGTGGGGTAACTGCCCCGCTACAATCCTAATACAATTTTAATGTAATTCTGACACTTCTCCTATCTGGAAGCATATCAGACACTGGGCCAGATGTGTGGAATTGTATCAAAAGATTATCCTCCAAGTCCAGCATCATGAACTGAACGGTGCTGTTCGAAAACCTTTCTGCGACTCCATTATCTCCAGGGTCATAGACCCACAGTAGGTCACAGAAATTACCCTTGAGCCAGTATACCTGTAGTAACAGTGCATATTAGGAAGACACTAATTTACACATATCCTACTACAAAGGCAATAATTACATTTTTAGTTACAAATCCAAAAGAAGATTACAATAGAATATATCTACAGCCATGTTTCTAAGTTACAGAACTCTGCTGTTTGCAATTTTGTTTTCTTCAAAACAACCTCACGTCATTATCCTACAATATAGACAAAAAGCCTTCAAAATGTAATTCAAAGGGCAGGCAGTAACTGCACAATGTGGTATGCATTCTACAGGATGAACTACATGTTGTGTCACTGTTTTCTACAAGTACTTTTCTTTTAGTGAACATCTGGAGCAATGCGTAGTAACACTTTCCTACTAAGGTTTTTACAATATATATGAAAAGAGTAGCTGTGCCATAACATCTTGCAAATAATAAACAGATATTTTAAAAAGAAAGTACAAATGTTTCCTTTTCCCCCCAAAAATTAAAGCAAGGCACATTTTATTGTGTTTTAAACATATAGTACAACAAATCCTTGGCCACCAAAGAACTTCATGGTTGTTAGAACTCAGAACTACCTGCTGCAAAAAGCACACAGTCCTAACACCCTTACCATAATTGTTTCTGTTGCATCTTTTGCTCTTTACACAGCCAACGTAACAGGAAGCACCTGGTTGCAGTGATGTCCAAATTACTGTGATTACCACCTATAACATTCAAGGCCTAGTGACATAGGTTCACAGCTGCTCGGGCAGTGTTCTGGTGGATTCTGAAACATAGAAGACAGTCAGTCAGGGCCATTAGAGGACTCACAAACTATTTAAAGGTCTACTACCCAATTCCTATACATTACAGTCTCAGTTACCTTGTGCTTCCTCCACCATCTGTTTGTTGTATCCACCTGTTGTCCCTCCGCTTCTACATAGATTTTAAGTGTTTTGGGACAGGAACTGTCTTTTTGTTTTGTGTGCCTACAGCGTCTAGACTAAGGTTACCATACGTCCGGATTATCCCGGACATGTCCGGCTTTTTGGGCTCCAAATCCCCGTCTGGGGGGAAAGCCCAAAAAGCTGGACATGTCCGGGAAAATCGGGGGGGCCGGCCGGGGGCCGGGGCCGACGGGCTTGGGGG